CTCCCTAGAACAACTAGAAAAATTTAACAAAAATGAATTACTCAAAATTGCCGAAGTTTTAGAACTAGAAGTTAAAATGTCAATGATAAAAAATGAACTAAAAAACGTATTGTCGAAATACTAGTCGATGATGATTTGTTGCCTGAGGAAGCCTTAGGGGAATACTCTAGTGCCCCTACTAGCCAATCAGGGTTGAGTGATAAAGATAGATTAGAGATTCAGCTAAAACTCAAACAAATCGAGCTCAAACAAACTCGTATTGAAGCCGAGAAAGAAAACGAACGAGCTCGTATTGAAGCCGAGAATGAACGAGCTCGTACGGAAGCAGAAAAAGAAATTAGGCTGAAAGAAATGGAAATTAAACTCAACACTTATCGACCAAAGCAGAATGACAACTTCGAACTTAATGGATATGTTAGAATACCACCGTTCAATGAAAATCAAGTTGATAAATATTTCCAACATTTTGAGAAGGTTGCCCAAACAATGGAATGGCCCACCACAAAATGGTCATTATTATTACAATGTGTCTTAACTGGTAAAGCACAAGAAGCTTACACCACTCTCTCTCTTTAGAAGATTGTACAAATTATGATAAGGTTGAAGCAGCTATTCACAAAGCATACGAGTTAGTACCAGAGGCTTATTGCCAAAAATTTAGAGGTTATCGTAATCAAGATAATCAAACTTATATGGAATTTGCTTATGAAAAAGAGGTTTATTTGATTGATGGTGTAATTCGATGCATATTGGCAATAGTTTCGAAAAACTAAGACAATTATGCCTAATTGAGGAATTTAAATGTTGTGCACGTGACGATCTCAAAACTTACTTGGATGAAAAGAACGTTGAAACACTACAGGAAGTAGCCGCTCTTTTCAATGACTATACCATAACACATAAAACTACTTTTCATAAAAAAGAGATTCCTACCATCTCAACAAAAACCTGTATCTGTTCAATCCACTAAAGTTGAGGATTCTTCCAAAAAAATCCAGCTCCTCTAGTTCGAAATCTTTTAACACTCAGGATAAAACTTCTTTAAAACAATCAAGGCCTGTCTGCCCTTTCTGTAAAATACCTGGCCATGTTATGTCCTATTGTTAGGGTTTGAAAAAGAAGAAAGAAAAGGAGGCAACACCCAGTGTGTTTGTGTCTACATATGGAAGTAGTTTCACCAGATCACCCAATGTTGTTGATTTGGTCACTGATATAAAGGCTGATGTAATCAGGGAGGAATTTAGACCTTTTGTGTCTGTTGGTTCTGTGTCTTTGACAATGGCAATCCCATACCCATTCTATGTGATATCGGGGCGACTCAATCATTGTTGTTAGAAGATGTATTGCCATTAGGTTTGAGTCTGGTGAGTCTGTTATTGCTCAGGGTATTGATGGTGGCTTCGTTAATGTTCCTCTTCATAATATTTATCTAGCATCAGACCTAGTTTCGGGACCAGTTGTGGTTGGGGTAAGACCTACTCTGTCAATTAAGTGTGTATCATTATTGTTGGGAAACGATTTGGCTGGGGGAAAAGTTGTTGCCAAACCCAAAATGGTTAATGAGCCGATCACTGTTTCATCTAAGGATGATGATGTAGTTAAGGAGAATCCCAATGTGTTTCCCTCGTGTGCTGTGACTCGAGCTCGGGCTAAGAAATTAAGCCCAGAACAAATGATAGACATGGATTCAGAGGACGATATTATATATTTGTTGCAGACATATTTTGGATCCTACAAGGATCTTGTGAATAATTGTCCTACTGATGATTTCTCGGGGAGAAATGATGACTTATGTGAGGGATCTGATTCACCCGATGAAATCCCGTTTACTAAAAGTAAACTGATAGCTGAGCAAGAAAAAGATCTGCAGATCTCTTCACTATTTAAATATGCACTCCCGGAAGATGAACTGGAGAAAGTTCCAAATAGTTATTTTTTCAAAAATGGGGTGCTTATGAGAAAATGGAGACCACCAGATGTGGCAGTTTCAGAGGATTGGGATATCATTTATCAAATCGTTGTTCCCAAGACATATCGTTCTGAAATATTGAAAGTTGCCCATTAAATTTACATGGGAGGTCATTTGGGTATTAACAAGACATGTGACAAAATTACAAGTTATTTTTTTTTGGCCAAAAATTAGGCAAGACGTTTCTCAGCTTTGCAAAACTTGTCATATCTGTCAGTTGGTTGGAAAACCTAAAAAGAAAATTCCTTGGAAACCTATACCGGCATTTGAAGAACCCTTCAGTGTTGTGATTGTTGATTGAGTCAGGCCTTTGCCAAAAACTTGATCGGGGAACCAATATTTGTTAACTATCATGTACGCATCCAATCGATTCCCTGAAGCTATACCTTTGAGAAACATTTCGGCCCAAAAATTTCTTAGGCTTTGATCAATTTCTTTACTTTTGTTGGCTTGCTCAAAGAAATTCAATCTGATCAAGGATCAAGTTTTATGTCAGGGTTGTTCCAACAAGTTGTTTATCAGCTTGGTGCTAAACAGATAAAATCTAGTGTGTATCATCCAGAATTGCAAGGTGATCTTGAGAGATTCCACTCTACCTTGAAGAATATGATGCGGACTGACTGCCTCAATAACCAGAAAGATTGGTATGAAGGAGTTAATTTATTATTATTTGCTGTTTGTGAGTCAGTTGAGGAGTCATTAGGGTTTAACAATTGTTGAAAGATAATCCAAAAGAAATGCACTTATTTGATTGTGTTTCCAAGTTTTGGTCTAGACTCCTACTTGCTTGTGAAATGGCTCGAGAAAATTTGAAGTCACCCGAAGTTAGGATGAAAAATGTTTATGACTGTAAGGCTGAAGAGCATAAGTTCCACCCTGGGGACTATGGTACATTTCCTTAGAGCTAGGTATTATGGTCCCTATGAGGTTATTTGGAAAGTTAATGATACAAACTATGTTGTAAACCACCAGATTGTCGAAAGGCTACCCAGCTGTGTCATATTAATATGTTAAAGCCCAACCATTTTCGAGAAGCAACATTAATTAATTATTTATAATTAATTCATTAAATCATTTGAAATTAAATTGTCATAGAAAAGATGATACAATAATTAAAACTTATTGTTTGAAATTTTCAGTATTAAATTATTGGTTCATTAATTCATTGATAATTAATTTGTCCTAAAAAGGATTATGTCTTACTCAATTCAATGTTTAAAGATTTTCAGTACTAATCTATTACTTAATTACATTTCCTGTCCTAAAAGGACTATATCTTACTCAATCAAGTGATTAAGGATTTTTAGTAACATGTATATAATTAAAAGTTCTTGACACAATAATTATTTTAAATTATTTATTTATTTTCTCAATTTTGCAATCTGATCTACATTTCCATTTATAAAGAATGTATTTATGTTTTCACCATTCACGTGTGTACTACTAACTGGCACTGTTATATTTTCACCATTCACGTGTGTATTACTAACTGGCACTGTTATGTTTTCACCATTCACGTATTTTGGATCCTACAATTAAGGATTGTTATCAATATATTGAAGTTAGTGTAAGGTTATAAAAGTCATTGTACTGTAGGTAGTTCTTGTCCAAAATGACACTTTTAATATTGTCATAATAAAAGGTACATTGAGGAATCATGTTTGATAGCTTTATT